CACACACACACACACACACACACACACACACACACACACACACACACACGAGAAACCGTTTCCAGGTGACAGTACATGAGTGGAAATGACTCACCTGCTGAGCAAACTAAGTTTCCACCCCTTAACCACTTAACAGAAATCTGGAATGCTGGGACCAACTATAAATATGGCTCAAGAAGACCCAACCAAAGCAGCCGTATTTCTGACAAGAATAGAAAGGGCTTCCAAACACAATCATATAATGCATTAAACAGCAAAGGTCACAGAAGGAGTCACAAAGTAGTAGCATAAAAGATTCTAGACACACTGTATCATTGTGAAATCTCCTGCTTAGCACCGAGAGAGTGACACTTTCATTAATAAACAGAATTTCTTCTTTAAAACCAGCCATTTAAAAACTAAAGCAATGTAGTAATACCAAGTGAATTTCTTACATTAATAGCCCTTCCTTTCAAAGTTCTGAGGGGCTAAAAACCCCTATTAAATAGGCTACATATACAGAATAAAGATTTCTATAGTAATATTTATAAGCAGAGATATACTTTGTGGATACCACTTGTAAAAAAACAACTTTAAAAAATCCACAAGACAGATGCATGAGCACACATGCACTCAAACACCCCACCCCCACCCTCAGGAAATATTCTTAGCGAGGTCAGATGCAGCCAAAATGCTATTGCCTCCTTAAAGCTCTGTGATTGTCCTCAGTTACAGGCGACCCTTTGTAAAATGGGCATTGTCATCCTCGTTTGGATTTAAGAATCCTGAAGGAGCAAAATATAAAATACATTCCTAGGTGTGAGCTAAGTACATTATTTAAAGGGTCCCCTAGCAACATGCTTTATTTATTTGTACTGAGTAAATTGCATAACCCCTTCTTTTCTCACTTTATAACACAGGGGCTTCAGGATATTAATAAAAAACCATGTCGCTCTGCTATTACAGCAAACTGGAACCTAATATAACATCAGTTTTCACAGCTCAACACTGAGATGCAAGATAAAACTAAGATGTAGTTTTCCACACACAGTCACACTAGAGTATGGATAGATACTTCACATGAGCGGAATCACTGCACAATACTGAACGGCTGGAGGCATGATGGTCAAGGCATGACCCAAAGTAGCTGCCAGCGACTGGCTTCCATGCTCTCTGCTCCAGCGGGCGTAGGTTTTCTGACAGCATACATCGGAGCTCAGAATTACAGCATCAACTCTCACGGCCTCAATCTCTCTTCAGGCTGTGGACTTTGTCCTGATGAAGTGCTCAAGAATTCACTGTGCAAAATAGTATTGTTTTGAAGATGCTGGTTCTAAATAAACTGACAAATTCCAAATAGAAGGATTAGATTCTCAGAAGCAGAGAAATGAGCAAAATGCCTGCAATCCTGATGTCACGATTCAGCTCTTACTGTTCATTAATAACTGGGGATTTAAGTTTCTTTTAAAAGTTTCAAGAAGAAAACTCAACGCAATCACTAAGATGGAGAGATGAAATACTCCTATTAACATACTAGTTGATGAGTCAATCAAAACAACTCTTTTCTTGATCAGAATACAAAATAAATGCCCTCAAAAGGAAAAGACAAAAAGCAAAGGCCACTAAAACTTGGTTGCAAACACTGAAACGGTAAATCCATGTAAAAAGTCCTAACTTCATTTACAGTGCAAACTGGTGTTTTTTTATAGTTTCTCTTCTGTGCAGAAAATCTCTTTAGAAACTGCCTCCCTGCATTTCTTTCAGATACCTGAGAAAGGTAAGGCTTGAGGAGACACGCAAACATAACAGGTCTCTGACCATGGGCTTCTGCAATATACTTGCTGCTATCAAAGGTCCAAGGTTTTCATTATAGCGTTTTGGTCAAACTTGAAACTCAGAAAGGTTCTAGATGAAAATGGGAACTTGCAATGTCCATTACACGCCACAGAGTGTCCCTCAACAGGCTCTACCGAGGGGTCTTCACCAGAACAAGGCAACTCAAATGCGCCATCTGATCAGGAAACAAAATTAGTAGTCAGTAACTCTGAAAGTTTACCAAACACTGCCCTCCACCTGCTCACAGAGAGAAATTTAGGCACACCTATGTTTCCCTTTTTAAAAGTTGACTCAATGCAAAGTATCCCAGTCAGTATTCAATGAAATCTCTTATCCATCATGCTTATTTCTACTAACCCAGATTCTTAACCTCTGCGCTCTGAGACCCTTAATATCCTTAATACCCTTGCTTTCAAATCGGGCAGATTGTTAGCTCTTGTATTTGTACTTTGTGCCGGAGTACACACTCTTTTTTGACAAAGGCCAATAAGAAAATATCACGAAAATTGCAATTACATTGGGAGAGGGGCTGTAAAGATTAAGAAAATACAGTTGAAGTTTACCAAGTCCTCAACAGACCAAAAGAAAACCTTAAAAGCTTTTTGGCAATCAGTCTCAGCAATGCCTTTCTTTTGGATACAGTACCAAAAGCCAAAGGGGGTGGGGAGGGTTTACACCTACTAAAATACTAGAGAAAGCCCCACGTTTAAAAGATAACAGTAACTTCTCATAGTGCCGCTAAGACACCTTCATTCATTTGGGAGCACAAGCACACACAGGTGCACACATGAAGTCAGATGACAACTCCGGTATCAGTCCATGCCTTCCACTTTGAGAAGGGCCTCTTGTTGTTTTTGCAATGGCCATGGCCAGGCTAACTGACCACAGACTTCCGAAAATCCAGTCCCTGCTTCCCATCTTGCCACAGGGACACTGGAATTCTATCTGTACTACCAATGTCTGGATACACATGGGTTTTATGGATCAGAACTTGGGTCTTTCTACCCACTGGGCTATCTTCCCAGACACAGAACATCTCTTTTAAGACAGCTTTTATTTTTTTGTAATGATTGGTTAAGTCAAGTTTCTAAAAAGTCAACTCTGGCATCTACAGAGGTGATTCTGAACTCCATTCCTGGCTTGGCACAGATGGAGGTAACCAGCTTACCCACCTCAGGACACCATCAATGAGTCACTGGTGGATTTGCAGCTGAAAACTGTCCTATATTATTTAAATAAATATATAATATTTAAAATAAAGAAAATAATGCTCTTCATTTCTTTTTCTCTTTTTTGTTTGAGACAGGGTTTCTCTGTGTAGCCCTGGCTGTTCAGATACACCTGCCTCTGCCTCCCAAGTGCTAGAATTGAAAGCGGGCACCACCATCCAGTGTTCTTCATTTCTTGTGAGTTTTCAGTATAAAAGGTTTTAATTTGGATGAATATGTATCAGTGACACAAAGAAATTTCTTACCATTCAAATTAAGACTAATGGTGTGCTATACTTTAAAATGACATCTATTAATCAAATGTTAGTGGCATTAAAATTACTTTCTGTATCTGTTACAACTTTCTGTGGAGGTCTGAATGAGAATGACATCCACAGGCTCACATATTTGCATGCTTGGTCTGCAGATGGAGAAGTGCTTGCAAGGATGGGAGGAAGTGTGCTGTGGTTTCTGAGGTTTCAAAAGTTCACTTCAGTCCAAAGTCTTTCCCAGGCTGCTGTTTGTAAAGCTCTCAGCCACTTCTCCAGCATCCTGTCTGCCTGCCAGCTGCCACGCAAGCAAGTCCCCTAATTAAACACTTTCCTTTTAAGAGAGTTGCTTTGCACATGGTGTCTCATCATAGCAATAGAACAGTGGCTAACACAGTTTCCAAACCAGACACATTGCACTCCTTTACTGAAGGAGAAACGGCATCATTTAGGTAAGAGGTGTGCGCTTAAGAGCACTTTACAGAGCTGACCCCACTACAAGAGCAGAGTGAGAATGAGGCAGCCTCATCATCACATCGTTTCCCATAGCCCACAAGCCAGTGTCACAGCGCACACGCATGTGGACCTGAGTGTAACAGTGTCTACTGAGAATATCACACTTGACATCTCTGTAGCACACAGGCAGTTCTTTAACCACCATCACCATAAAGCACACTGATGTCACAGCGCAAAAAAAAAAAAAAAAAATCAAACCTAGTCCCACAGGACAATTAACAAAAAGAGAAAAAGAAAAAGAAAAAGAAAAAGGCTTGCCTGTTTCAAAGTTGTCCTGAAGTTTTCGTGGATGCAGCCTCTTTTCACATTTCTATTAAAAACAGACACAAAGCACAGTCTCTTGTTATTTTTATATATTAAAACTCAAGAGATACACGATCAAACATCTCAAGAAGAAAATTAAACCAGGAATCTAATCATCTCCCCAGTGGGTTTCCTTAAAGCTCAACTTCTAAAGAGTTTGGAGAATATATCCCAACTTCCTTACCTATCAAATAGCGGCTATAAACAACACTCAGCGTACAGCCTTTTCACCTTCAAATGCACAGCACTGCCCCACAGCCTCTCCCGTCATCCCAGTGCTAGCCACCAAACCCAGGGCCTGCCGTATGTAAGGCACAAATAGCTCTCCCAGTAAAGTACATTCCCCAGAGTTCTAACCTTTTAAATGTAACTGGATGCAAGCAACATTCCTTTCCAACAAGCACAGACCTTAACTCTCTGCTGAGCTGATTTGGAACCATGAGTGAAATAAACCCTTTCCTTCCCATGTTGCTCTGGTCACGGTGTTTATTACAGCAACAGTAACCACACTTGTCTCCCACTCCCCGTAAGTTTAAAGTTACTAATTTAACTCACTTATCTTCTTGTTTTGTTTTGTGATTTTTCAAGATAGGGTTTCTCTGTGTATCCCTGGCTGTCTTGGAATTCACAGACATCCACCTGCCTCTGCCTCCCAAGTGCTGGGATTAAAGGCGTGCGCCATAACTCACTTTCTTAAAGAAACATTTGCAAACAAATGAAATGAAATAGAAAATCCAACATACACTAACAGAAAAGATCAGTAAAGACACTCAACTCTCTTGAAGAGAAAGCATTTAAATTTTTAACTGCACTGTAACAATGAATTACAGCACCAGAGGATCCCATGGAATGAAACCGAGTAGAATGGTGGTTACAAAGCTGAGGGTAGGGAAGACTGAAGGACAGGAAGAGGCTGCCCTAGATGAGTTAAGATGTGCTACGTAGTAGCACAACTATGAACAACACAACTGCAAACTACACTTCAAAAAGCTAGAAGGAGTGTCAGCCACTGTTTCCTTCTGCCCCAGGTTGGCCTCACAGTTATTATGTATCCCAGGCTTGACTCAGGCTTGACTTCCTGGGCCTCAGCCTCACTCTGCCTGCGCATCAGGCTAAATTTTTTCACCATAAACATTACACATTGTACTCATACATTGAAACATATGGCACCCCATAAATATCTATATTCTTATGGATCCAGTAAAATACACAAATTTAATCAATATCCCTTAAAAGACGTGTGTGTGTGTGTGTGTGTGTGTGTGTGTGTGTGAGAGAGAGAGAGAGAGAGAGAGAGAGAGAGAGAGAGAGAGAGAGAGAGAGAGAATCCCCAGGGAAGCCAGGACATCGCATAAGATCTCTGGGAGCTAGAGATCAAATCTTGGTCAGGGAACTGACTTGCAGCCTCTGAAGCAAAGCAGATGCCCTTAACCACAGACCCATTCTTTCAGGCCCCTGAACAATGGGTTTTCAGAAAAAAAAAAAAAAATTGCTTGTTTTTTTTTTTTTTTTTACTATATAGTGTTTTTAAGGCTTTAAAGTAAATGTAAAAAACCACACAAGGCAAAAAGTTGAAGTGTATCCAATTATTCCAGATCTGTAGTTAAGAATGGCCAAAGGGAGATTTAGGCTTTAGTTCATGACGGCAATAGTGAAGAACTCAATTTTATTAAAATTCTATCATTAAATTTATCAAATAAAAATAAGAACTAAGCCACCGTTATTGTGTCTGGAGACACTCGGTCCACTCTCAAGGAGAGCAGTCTCCTAGGCACCTCAGCCGGAACTTACCATCACGGGATTCTGCTGTTTCGCTGGCTGACTATGAACTCCATTTGTTCTCTTCTTCTGATTAGGTGAATCTTGATACTGTTTTCTGCCATTCCCTCTCATACTTTGATTCTGTTTTTCCAGTAAAAAGAACATGTAAATTCACAGTACAACACAAATATACCCCTATGAATGTTTATCTCAATTGAATAGAGTTCATAAAACATCATCTAAATGTTTACACATTTGCTTTATCAATTCTTTTCTTAGACGACTGCTTTGTAAAGGAACATTTCCTCTGAAACAGGGGCAGCAAAAGCACCATTCCCTAGTCCTTCCCACACCTCCTGCTTTACCCACGCCCGCCTATGAACTGTTTATAATGCACAAATATGGCAGGGTGGGAGCTCAGGTACAGCTCACACAGAGCACAAGGCCCCAGAGTCAAGCTCCAGCACAAAGATAAAGGAATGGGAGCGGAGGAGGAAGCAGCAGCTCTGAATCCCTGGGGACTGCGGGGACTGCGGACTGCGCTGGGAAGGCAGCCAGGGCACCCGGACAGCCTGCTTTTCTCCTTGAAGCTTATTTGACATTGTGCATGTGTACGGGGCTGTGAGTCAGCGTGGGTGCTGGTCAGAGACACTGTGCAGACCCGGGTCTCTCATTTCACCTTTACACGGGTTCCTGGATCACACTCGGGCAGTGAGACCAGTACAGGGCGTGTTTACACACTAAGTCATCTTGCTGGCCCCTATAGCTCTTAATAGTATAAATTATGCAGTAGGGACCATCAGTTATCAGAAAATTAAAATAAACAGATAAGTGCCTCTTATCTGTTTATTTTATTAGAGATAAGGTTTCACAAAATAATGAAGATCAGTGTCTTAGAAACTTGGGCCTTTTAGTCTCAAATTTAGGCACAATCTTTTCAAACACCAATTTCTCCTTCAGATCTTGAAAAACAGCTATTTGAGAGAACTGTGACTAATGAATGTAACTATTACTTTAAAAAATAACCTAGCTGAAATGAGCAGACAGTAGAGCTCATGCACCACGCTCGCAACTTAAGCTTCATTTTTCTCTTGGCAGTATTTCCTTCCCTGCGCATTCTTCAGGATGTGACCTCGGTGGCAGTAGATCGGATGTTTGTCAACACTAGCAATACTCACTTCGGCCCACACCGTAGCTTTTCTGCTGTTGTTTTTCTCCCACTCTCCAAACATTTTAAACAATCAAAAGAGAAACTCTATTGCCAACAAAAAGGAACAATTCTTTTGTTGTTGTTGTTTGTTTGTTTTTCGAGACAAGGTTTCTTTGTGTAATACCTCTGGTCCTCTTGAAACTCCCTTTGTAGACCAGGTTGGTCTTGAACTCACTGAGATGCACCTAACTGCCTCTGCCTCCCAAGTGCTGGGATTAAGGGTGTGTGCTGTCATTGCCCTGGAAGGTGACGAAGTCTGTGCTAGTTCCAGCCGTAATCACTACTTAGCACACACACCTTGTGTGCCTGGGTTTGCCTATGCTTAGGGACACGTCACAGAACCACAGTTTTTTTTCACGTAGCCATTGTCTTCAAGGGTCACGTACACTGTAATGTCTCAGAATTTACTCATTAACGACTGAAAACAGTCAAGGGCAGGAACAGGCCACCTTTATCCATCCATCTACGTGCTGTACTGCAGAGGGCTGTGAGTAGCTCTAGGATGACATTACCCTTTAAGGCCGTTCTCGGTTCATTTGCTTATATATGTAGGAGTAGGGGTGCGGACTCATGTAATAAACTCCTGTCTAACTGGTGAAAAACCACGGATCCTTCTCCCAGCAGCTGCCTCTCCTTACACTTCCAAGGGCACAGCAGGGGCCCTAGTTCTCGGCACCCTCACCAACACTGATGGGGTTCTGTTCTGTTGGGTTTATTACCACAGCCATCTGAGGTATAACTGATCTCTATTTCCCAGTGACAAACACTGCTGAGTCTTTTCCATACTTAATGGCCATCTGAACTTCTTGAGAGAAGGGTTTGGTCAAGTGTTTTAGAACGAGGCTGGGTTTTATAGAACTTTTGAGTGGTTACTGTTCTTGAGGCAACAATCTGGAAACCAATAAAATGTTCATTAAGTGAACAATAAGAAACTAAGGTATAATCACCTACCATATGATATGACAGTAAAACTATATAATACACGTTACTTTTTTCCATAACAATAGAGCCTATCAACCTTAACTCAGAAATCGTCTTCTTTCAAGTCTCTCCCTGACAACATGCATAAAGAATATCCCATTATTTACCACACTGGATTTATTCCAAGACTATGAAGGACAATGAGTCTCAGGTCTGTTCAAGTCACAAGCTGGGACCATGGGCAACTGCTCAACAATTCAGAATTCTTCTAAACACTACACATAATTCCTCTGCTGAAAATGATTTTGAAGCAGAATGATCAAAGCATCTGCAAGGATTCAGTGTGACTCACTCACCTTTGTTTTGAAAGGGTCCGACGACACTTCTGTGTGGTTACTATGTGGCTTCTGCTGCAGGGGCTGCCTGTGCTTTACCCACTGGTCACTAGGAGAACCTTCAGGAAATAGCTGCTGGCTGTGGCGGAATTTTGTTCGACTATACCAAGGTTTAAAAAAGAAGATTTTCACTTGCAGCTCTTTAAAAGTCTCGACAGTTTAACCCATCAACTATATGTTTTACTTTAAAAAAAGAAAAACAAACCTTTTCCCACTATTCCTTAAGTTACAAAAGCAGGAAAAAAAACCCCTCCCTTTTCAAGACAGAGTATCTTTGTGTAGTCCTGGCTATCTTGGAACTTGCTCTGTAGGCCAGGCCACCGTTAAAATCAGAAATCCTCCTACCTCTGCCTTCTGAGTGCTGGGATTAATGTCATGTACCTAAATGTCCAGTTTAAAGCAGAGATTCTGATCAGCTTTGCCAGCTATATTTTATATTGGTGCTAATGAATTTTTCTTACATTAACAACCTATCCTTTCTGAATTATTCATACCATCCCATCCCTATAAGTAATTATATTCTTTAAATCAAAAGAAGGTTCTTTGTAAATGTAGTTGAAGCAGTGAAATGATGTATGTGAATCTCCTTCTTAACAGGATGGACAGCGCATTCTTTCCAGATGGCTCAGTAAGGGATCTGATCAAATAGGCTGGTCACAGACCCTACCAATGTTATCTGTGATCTGAGAAAGTAGGTTACTTTCTAGAGCACAGCTCCTTAAACCACAAGAGATACAAAATCCTGCAATGGTAAAGACTTCTGAATGTGTAGAACCAGGAGCTAATTCAAAGCCTGATGTGCACTGAATTGAGGTATCTGTGGCCTGTTCATGACTCAACCTCTACACAGCCTTGGTTCTGAACACACAACACATAAAACATGCCATCAAACCAGGAACACCAAGGAACACTATGGAAGATCTCTGCTTAGAAGTGAGATTAATATGTTGTAGGCTCATTAATATACACAATATAGCTTTGACTCTTACAGAAAGAAAACAGCTTAGTTACTGAACGCAGACTGTCAGTGTTTTCTACCACCCCAGCATGTAAACATCAAATCAGTCCATCTTTGGACTGTCCTCTGTTAGAATACTTGATTTGGGGATTGACTAGGAGCTGGTTCAGCAGGTAGAATCATGTGCTGTGCAGGCCTAATGGTCTGAGTTAAAACTTTGAAACCCATGGGCGAAGGGGAGAACTGACTCCAAAAGGTTGTCTTCTGACCGCTACAGGCCTACGTGTGCGCACATGCGCACGCGCGCGCGCGCACACACACACACACACACACACACACACGCTACAGGCCTACGTGTGCGCACATGTGCGCGCGCGCACACACACAGCCTTCTAATGAAGAATGTTTCACTTTGAACACTGCTGCTGCACATACATACTACTCTAAAGAATCTCACCCCGGAGCATCTCACACCTGCACATAAGCAGTACCCTAAAGAACATTTTAAGATTATCAGACTCCTTTCAGAATTCCTTTTTCCACTTAAAACTTACAGAGCTGGAACTAATGCACCAGAGTATAATTAAAACGCTCAAGAGGCCGAAGCAGGAGGACTGCTGGTTTGAGGCCAGTAGGGTCTATATGACTGAGTTCTAGACTAGTCTGGACTACAAAGTCAGACCCTGTCTCAAAGTATTTTTAAAAATCAAATTAGGATATGTTCTGTAATTCTACCTTTTTAAAAGACAAAACAGTGACATTTCCTCCACCATAACAGACTGTATGACTGAAAAGAATATTGCCTCTAAAGGAAGCATAAAAAGTAGCTAAAGCCTACACAATCACCTCTCCTCCTAACAAGAGCAGACACCCGAAGACTAAGAGCACAAGCTGCTGGAGGCTTTCCAGCCATGCACGGCCACCACTTAGGACTTCTTGGGAATATCTGCTTTTATACTCTTGCCTATAGTCCTGTCTTCCTGCCTTCTGTCATACTGTTCACTTATTTCTATTAGTATGTCTTTATAATTATAACTGTTATAAATTTTGAAAGACAGAATGATTCCTGAGATATTTAATCCAATGTCTTTTCCTTGTAAAACCAACACAAATGGAACAGCACCTATTTAAAATGCATAACCATAAATGTGATATACTCTCATTGTTTTTTTAAGATTAAAATCCTAGATTAAAAAGATCACCAAATTAGAAAAAAAATGTAAAACAAGAATCAAAGTAAAACCACAACTCTGGCAAAAAAAAAAAAAAAAAAACCCAACAAAAAAAACCTTACAGCAAGCTGCTTATGAGAAGATATACCAAGTCTAGTGAGAAAACATGCGTTAAGGTCCTTGCTGCCAAGGCTTATTATGACTGAGTTTGATCCCAGGGACCTAGTATGGTAGAAGAGAACTATTTGCAAATTGTCCTCTACACACACATACACACCGTGTTATGCACACACTTACACACATACAGAAAATAAATAAACTTAATAAAATTATATTATGCACATTTAACGAAGTTACTTTCCAAGTCTGTACCGAGTTCCAATGCAGCAAATGTCAATGACAGTTCACATCGTGTAATTAATAGACCCTCTTCATAACACAGCTGAGAGCAAGCTGGGGAGATGTCTTACTCGGTAAAGTACTTGCTGTACAAACATGAGAACCTCAGTTAGATCCCAGAACCCATGGACAAAAGCCAAGTTTCGTGATGTGTGCTTGTAATCCCACAGCTGGGGAGGCAAGAAAGGCATAATTCTGAGAACCCCAGCCAGTGAGAGGACATGAATCAACACACAACTGAATGACACCGGAGGCCAATCTTAGACCTCCTCACGTGCACATGAGGCCACACACTTACATGAACATACATACTCATTTGCATGCAAAATTCTGTAAAAAGTACAAACAGTTGTCACTGACTCTAACAAATTACTCAGCAGCACCTCCCGCCTCCTGTGCAGCAGAGACCTCAACGCACCCCATTCAATCACCTCCAGAAACTAATTCAACACACTCTTCTCCTTTTCCTACTATTCTGAAGTTGGTGTCCTCTCAAGTGGACTATTTTAAAACGTACCTGAAGTGTCTTTCTGTGAATTACCCCCTTTCATCTCAGCAGAAACCTTTACAGACTATCTTACGACACAAACTGAGACACAACAGGGCGTCTGGGGCTCTAAAGCTGCTCTAGGAAGCAAACGGTGTTAGACTGAAGACCCCAGAAAGCCACCATCTCACAAGGACATCTCTTTACCTCAATTTTTCCACAGTGGGTTTGGACGGTGTGCTGCCAACTGAAGAAAAGCCATTGTCACTGTCCGAGGAATCTCCAAATCTTCGAGACAGCCAGTCCCGTAGAGGTCTATGAAAACAGGAACTATTCATTAAACACAAACAAACCTGAAATAGCAGCACCAAGGGCAGTTTTACAGTTTAAGAAATAAACATACCTGATAAAGGGAATGGCCATAAAGAACTTATTAGGTGCCAAGCCAAGCTTGGACTTGGGGGTCATATCGTTCCTGTGGCAGGGCAATTTCTCAATGGGGAACCACTCAATGTTCTGAAACAAGACAATGGCAGCTAGCTGATTACCACCAAGAGGTAGATAAAATCAACTCCCCACGTCTTTCACTTGGGATTCTCTTTAGCAACCCACAAATATTCTTAACTCTTACATACCCTAATCTCTCTTCTGGTTTTGGGGTTAAATTTTGTGTCTTTTGGAACTCCTGGAATGATGTACAAGCGAGCAAGCTGGTCATTGATTCGAAGTTCGATGTAATCATCCTTACAAATATAGTCTTTTATATCAAAACCAGTTTCCTCAAAGACCTGGAAATAAATGTGGATAAAATATCTTATTTTTTCACCATCTGAGGGTAAGATAGGAAGATCAGTTCAAGGGTAGCTAGTTACATGATTGAGATGGTATCAAAACAAAACAAAACAAAACAAAGACATCATCCTAAATCTAATCCGTAGCTAGGAAATTAGGATAAAGGGCCTCCCCCCAATGTAATGCTAAGACAAGTAAAAACTGAATAGATCAAACAGGGATAAACTATAGGCAAAAGATGGCTAACAATCTGACTACCTATCAGCCAGGACTTAACTGCTCAGTTGCTTTCAGACAGTGCTGCCTGCACTACACTATAGCGCCACCAAGTGGCATAAGGATTGACTGTAACTCTAGCACTCCTAGGTGACACACTCAAAGAAAAAGGCATGAATACAACCTTAGAAATTCCTAGACTGATGGCCAGGTAGTGCTGGCAAAAGCCCTTATCCCAGTACTCGGAGGTAGAGGCAGGCGGATCTCTGAGTCTGAGGCCAGCCTGGTCTATAGAGTGAGTTCGAGAACAGCCAGCTCTACAGAGAAACCCTGTCTCAAAACAAACAAGCAAACAAACAAATTCTAGGTTGTAGCCACTGTGACTATATGGAAGAGGGGGCTACTGGAGGTAAAAAGGGTTAAATGAGGTTTTTAACCATATGACCCTGATTTTGGTTAAGAAAAGACCACAACAGCTCTCTGGACAATACCCAAACATACCCAGGAAAGCCCACGTGGACACACCACTGGAAATTAGATTCCCACAAGCAAGCAAGAAAGCCTGCAATGAAATCCAATTAGCTGGAGCTCTAATCTTGGATCTCTAGTCTCCAAATCTGCAAGGAAATAAATTCTGTGGTTTAAGCTACCCCGCCAGTTGTAAGTCAACTCAAGCAAACTAAACAGTAACCTTCCAGCCAACTCCCTAAGCTTTTAGGCAAAAGCAATCATTTAAAAATCAGGATTAAAGGCTTGCCTTTAAAAAAATCTACCGAAGGGAAGGCCACCTGCTCTGTGGGCCTGTGAGCCCATCTCTCCCATTTTTCATGGGTGCTGAAATGTAAACTCGGGCCTTCAGGCTTGAGCATTTAAGTGCTCTTACCTACAGAGCCCTCTCTTCCCAGCATGCTTCCCATGGTGGCTTTCTGAAAGGCATTCTATGCAAGTGTTCTCTGACCACACTCAGAACCTCAATCTCCCTTCTTCTCCCCGAGCCCCTTCAGGCATTTCCATTCATTCCCCGATCTCACTTTGTTCATATCCTGCATATATACACATGACTGAATGTATCAATATAATGTCCAGGGTTCCGAAAGGAGAGGGCATGTGTTTGTCTTTCTGGGTCTGATTTAATATGGTTAAGCTCTGGCTGCATCCTTTTTCTGCGGATGACAAGAATTTGTTGCTTGAACTGACATTGCTGGCACACACATAAAAACTGGTGTATACTGGCAATCCAAACTAAGCGCTCCTGCTTGGGCAGCAAGCACTCTGCACATTGAGCTAAATCTCAGACCCTACATCAGTGGGTTTTAAGAACTGTAACTTTTTTTCTTCACTAATAAACTACATCCAAACTAAAACAAGGTAATAAATACCACTGCATCAAACAGACCAGCTCAAAAACATCTCAGAATCAAATTTCCGCTACTTTTCCAAACTCTAAGATGTTGCTTCTGGCTATGAAGTTCTTCAAAGTGACTGTCTTTAATACATCTGAGTGGGTAAATGACTTTTCTGAAGTAGCAAGGCTTTTACATAAATACAGCTTAAACTGGAACAAATCTCAAAGGTTGGGTAAAATGTGGGGCAGGATAAAAAGCTAACGGCAGACTTTCCATACATTAAAGGCAAAATGGTAAACAATAGTTGCTGTTTGGTTCAGGAACCATTAAAGAGCTGATCAGAAAAAGGAATTTTAAATAAGGATGAACAGAAAGTCACCCATTTGGAATTTCCCTTTTACAGAGAGAGACACGCCCTCCTTTGAGGCTGAGTGGCAACAGAATTGCAGAGGGAAAGGAACCTGAACCAGGTTCAGATGTTGCTGCAGTTTGTATCTGGGATGTCCTCAACAGGCTGATGCTCGCACTTGGCCTCCATCTCATGGCACTATGTGAGAGGCTGTGGAGCCTGCAGGAGGTAGAGCAGGATGGTGAGAACAGGTGAGAAGATCTTGGAAGCCTAAACCAGCCATGGTTCCAACGATGTGAGCCTCTAGGTTCAGCACATAGACAGGCACCACCTGAGATGCCCAGAACCACACTGATCCGTTATGCCTTCCTCACAATTAACCAAGGCTCTGACAGTGAACACCAAGTCAATTCTTTCTTCACCAAGTGGTTTCTGACAGATACTTTGTCTAATCAAACAAAACCAATCCAGAGATGCACCGAGCTGGGGTCTCAATTGACAGGGAGAGAAGAGGCTGTTTGGGTAGGCAGAATTTCACTCAAACTTTAGAAACTATCTTATTTCGAGGACAAGGAATGACTGTTTTAAATGGCTAAGCTGGGGTGGAGCAGGATTTGAACTTTATCTTATAGCTCAGGTAAAAGGCTAGAATGAGTTTTGAGACGAAACATGTAAATGTTTAGAAAAATCCAGACCCTACATTTTTCTGAATTATGAAAAAGGAAAAAAAGAACAAAGAATACAGTTAGAAGTTGAAATGTTCTGTCAAAGAAAAAATTCAGTTTTCAAGCAAAAAGTAGAAAAGACACCATTATAAAGAATAGAGCCAGAAATATGCTTTAAAAGTAGACAGAACAAATGAAGATATGGCCCCAAAAAGCAAGGTGGGAAGGGGGGAGAAAGACAGTATCTTATTTTTTTTATGTATTATTTGTTTTGTTTCTTTGGTCTAACAGCCCTAGCTATTCCTGGAACTTGCTCTGTAGACCAGGCTGGTCTTGAACTCAGAGATCCACCTGCCTCTGCCTCCCAAGTACTGGGATTAAAGGTGTGCACCACCACTGTCTGGGGGGTATTATTATTATTATTATTTAGTTATAAACTGACTGGCCCATTAGCTCAGGCTTCTTATTAACTCTTAAAACTTGTTTTAGATAATAAGCCAATTATTCTTGTCTATGCTAGCAACGTGGCTCAGTACCTTACTCAGCGAGGCAGTCACATTTTACTTCTTCTGTGGCTGGGTCAGGACTGCAGACAAAGCTTTCCTCTTCCCAGAATTCTCTTGTTCTTGTTGTCCTACCCTTACTTCCTGCCTGGTTGTCCCACCTATACCTCCTGCCTGGCTACTGGCCAATCAACATTTTATTAAAATACAACTGACAGGATACAAACCATTCTCACAGCACTCCCCCCTCTTTAAGAAAAAAAACCCCAGGAACTCTGAATCTAATATCCTTTGTTTGTGGCACACATATTTAATCCCAATGCTTAGGAGACAGAGCAGACAGATCTCTGTGAATTCAAGGACAGCCTGGTCTACAGAGTGAGTTCCAGGACAAAGATACACAGAAAAACCCTGTCTCAAAAAGCCAAAAGTTACAATAAAAATAAAAGAAATAAGAAATAGAGGTTAATATAAAGTCATGTAAAGATGAAAAATACACAGAGAGTCAGGATACTGTATGTTATTATGTTCTCTTTGAATTGTTTAATGCTGAGAAAGAAGCAATAGCTGCCAAAAGATTATTTGTTTATAAAAGCTGCTGAATTAATCCAAGATAGGTACTTTAAAAATACCTTGACTTCAAAATTGAAGTCAAAAGGTATGTTATTTTGGAGAAGAGGTTTTGCTTGTTTCCACAGAAAATGAGAAGATATGGATTCATTCTGAGTTAAGAAAATCAGGTTTGATCAAGGAAGACCACCAGAACATATTCAAGATTACTGCCTGAGATGATCAAGCCCCACAGGATACTTACTCCAGTCAGGACTTGATCAAAATTTTAAATTTTCTTTAGGTCCCCATAGAATTATCAGTGCCCCCAATCAGCAAAACTAAGACCACATTCCCCAAAAATGGACTATGGATATTATCCTTTGTTTAGAATGTTGGCTACAAGTCGTTATAGATAATGGTCAGGAAAAAAAGGCCCTTATTATTTTTATGTGTAGGAGAGTTTTGTCTGAGTACCTGTGTAACACTTGCATGCCTGCCTGGTACTCAAGAAAACCAGCAAAGGGCATCAGATACATTGCAACTGGAGTTACAGATGGCTGTGAGGTAGCATGTAGGTGGTGGGAATCAAGCACAGGTCCCCTGAAAGAGCAGCCAGTGCTCTTAACCATCTCTCCTGTCCAAATGGTTGTCTCTAGCTAAACTATGCATTCACATTTCAGAAAAAGACTAAGCTTTCTCCAGAGCTCAAAACAGACTTAAGACTCCACAAGCTAACAGCCACACTCACCGCCAACTGCAGGCACTCACCTCTCTGGCAGCGCAGTCGTGGGGTGCTTCCTCTTTATTCACTTTTCCTTTTGGAAACCCCCAGCCTGATTTTGCCAGGTATCCCTGAACCAGCAGTACCTACAAACAAGCAGAAAGTAAAAAATAAACACCAAAGAAATCCAGTTTCCTTTCCCATTCTCCATCCCCAAAGATATTTTTCTCTATACTTCAGGTAATTATTTACGAACAAACTACACACAGCATTTGGCCCGAGCATCTTCCAAGACTGTAAATATGCTAGCATGAAGAGACACACGTTGTCTATTTAAACATACTGTCTCAAAAACGAACTCACAGCTCTTTAAACTAAGCCATAGCAAGCACAACAGAATGCAGGTAAGACATCCAAAGTTTAGTTCTTTAACATTAAGAATCTAAGGATGTTTGAAAACCTCAGTCAATGGCTGACAAGGAGTAGCTGATCAGCATTTCACTGAAGGTTTTACATCAGTGCACTCACATTCTCGAGCGTCTCATCAAGGATGATCGCACCATAGGTTGGCACTCCCATTTTATATTCCTTCCATTCATCCAAAATCTTTTCCACATCTTCACCTTGTGGCAGCAGAAAGGGACAATGACTGAAGAGTACAGATAATGTTAAGGAAACCTCCTTTCCCTTAGTCCAGCTAAGAAGCTACAACAAGGGAAGGGCTGGCTGGGCGAGGCTCCAGAGTCCAGCTCCCAGTGCCCACATCTGGGGCTCAGAGCCACACAGCTCCAACTCCAAGGGGTCTTCTGGCCTCCACAGACACCCGTACACACAAATACTCACACGGACTCCGAAATAAAAATAAAACTTCAAAAAATTAAATACAGAAACAGACTTATTTAAATTGACTGTATATTACATACAATTATTCAAGTTTGCAGGTTAGACTGAGCCCAGCACACTCATTTTCCTTGAACAATTCATTAGCTTTTGTATTTAATCTAGACACGATCCAAACTATGCCTCTGATAGTCAGTACTAGACTCCCAAGTTAACGAATACAAAGGCAGAAACCATGACTGTCTCAGATACTCATTGCTGAGTCAAATCCATGCCAGAGTCAGCACACCAAAAACGACAGCACGAGAGAAAGGCCTCCATTGACCAAAGGAAGGACCTGCTAGGAACACAGAGTTAGGTCCTGGAATTCTGGGGAGTAGGGTAAGGCACAGGGTACACACTACACATTGATGAAGTTCTCACCACATATATACATGTATCTATTTCATAATAGTTCATGTTAAAGTGACGGTTTACTATAGTTTATAAAGGAAAATGAGGGTCTCAGTTTCAGAAGAAATTTAAGTATATATCTAAGAAGTAGAACAGTGCAAAATATTAGAGAATAAATTAACAACAAAGACAGTCTCTAAAATTGTATACTTGGTCTATTGATGCCCTAAGCATCAAAGGCACCATCACTAAAACAGGATGAAGGTTGTGCAGAAAAACCACGACTTAGAACAGTTTCTTGATCTATTTGTAATGGTCCTCAAGCCCTTAAAAGCTTTTATATTCCGTTTTTATTTAGCTGTTAACTCTAAAAACATGAGACATGAATATATTTTCAATTACGTATGACCACAAATATGAATACTACCAGTTATTTCTGAGGCCAGACACTTAAGCTATTTGACTCCTGTGGGCTAGTAGTAACAATCGAAATTTTAGAGTCAAATGATAAAAGAAAAAGGAATATTCTATAGCAAATGGAGCAGAAACTCAAGAGAACCTTTAAATGAGCACTATTAATTACAGTGACAAGTTTGGGCAAAACGAAATCATATTTAGTTTCTATCATAAATATAATTTCATGAGCTATAATATAAAGTTTTAGTTTTATGGTTGTAGTAAGAACTAAAATGGCTCTCTACAAATCCAAAGAGGTCAACCACATATGACATCATAAGTAAAAGACAAACACATAGTCAATTTCCATGTGCTTTCAAGGCTTACTCCAGGTACATTAACCATCCTATGAACACCTGTGATTCCCTCAGAGACCAAAATACAAAAATCACTTCCCAATCAAAGTCTGGCTTGGGGACTGGAGAGATGGCTCATGGTTAAGAGCATGCACTGCTCTTCCAGAGGACCTGAGTTCGATTCCCAGCACCTGTGTAGGGGACTCACAACCACCTGTAATTCCAGCTTCAGGGAATCTGATGCTTCTGGCCTCCTTAAACACCTGCACCCAATGCATATCCCAACACATATACACATTAGAAAGTAAATAAATAAATTTTTTTTAAAAGTCTGGTTCTATATATTCACTAAAATTCTCGGCTGGGTGATGGTGGTGCATGGCTTTAGTCCCAGTACTTGGGAGGCAGAGGCATGTGGACCTCTGTGAGTTCAAGGCCAGCCTGGTCTACAGACCAAGTTTCAGGACAGCCAGGGCTACACAAAGAAAGAAAATCAAAAGGGGAAAAAAAAAATCTGTGTGGTGAAGTCATTGATTTACCACAAAAACAAAACACACACACAAACATTCTTTCACTTTCTCTGTAACTTGACCCTGACTCTCCCAAAATAGTTTAACAAAAACAAAACCAACACAAATGAAACAAAACCTCCCAAGCAAACCACAGCTGTTTTCAGACACGCCCAGGTCCCTGCACACTGCAGCGCAGTCACTCCCTAGCATCCCCTCTCTCCCATTTACTCGAAAACATCTTTTCACTTCATAATGATTTTCTTCCAAGATGAACCCCCACCCAGTCTGTCTAACCTTGAAATATTTTTCTTCACAATCCTTAACACATATTGGTTCTTTCCTAGACGGCAGGCCTATCCTCAACAACTACATGCACAATTAGCCTGATTTCCAAATTTATTCTTTGATTAGGCAACATTCACTATTATTTATTAGGTTAAGAAGGGAACTGGGAACCACAGAAATCAAATGACTTCACGGTCTAGACGTCACTCTCGGGACCTGGAATGGTTCCTCTCGCACGTTTTGCAAGCATCTTCCTTTATCTCTCGTGACCCTAATGGTAAGCCTGCCTGGGTCACTGCAAAATGCCCGGCACATAGATACCGTTCAGTTATTTAACAAAGCTGAGTTCCTGCTCAAAAGGTTCCTTCCCTATATAACTAAGTGAGAAGAAAAACTCTGTGTCACGTTTTTGATGTCTGTAACACTAGGATTAAGTATAAAACTTACAAGTACACTCATGAGCGAATTCTTATTCAGAAATCCAAAACAACAGCTGTTTTGGAAAAACCTTAAGTCTATATAAGAGGAACAAAACAAAGGGTTTTGCTATTAATAATTTTCCCACAGGTCGGTTATAACTCTTATAAGCAAGGTCTTCTGTCTGTACAGAACTGGTCATCAAGCCTTTAGTTAAAGTAGTACTCAACATAATCCCATTTCCCTTTGACTCATCACCCAACCTCTACACAACAACTCGATCAAGTGTTCTAAGCACTTGCCCTGACAGTGTTCTGGAGCCCTAGAACCACGGCTTGTAACCCGACCCTGTCTTAAGTACCAGTGCTTGCCTATGGCTCAGGTCACCAACCAACCACATCTTGGATTTCATTTTCACACGATGAGCTTGCTCAAATACTTGCCATGTTAACGTCTATAAAACACTGCTATCCATTTTCTATAGAGCCCCAGGAAGCCCTTATTTTATGGATCTGGGAAGTGACAGGAAGCTTACTTTGGTATTTTGGGTCATTTGTACTTGCTCTAAGGCTAGCTCAAACACACCGATCTCGTGGGAACATATTCACTGCAACACACACTGAATGGCTAAGAACTGTATATACTAAATAACTCAAATCACCCTGCTCCAGATTTGAGAGGCTCTCTAGAATTTTCCAACTCTGTAAGTCTGTTCACTCCTTGCTTGTGTCGACAGAGGAAACTCTGTATCTCCTTTAAAAATGTGTTGTCTAAAATCTTTCCACCCCATTTCTAGAATCTGAGAACATTTAATACAGCAATCTATCATTTTTTTTACCACATAGAAAAGTTTATTTTATCTTTTTTTTTTTTGGTTTTTTTAAGACAGGGTTTCACTGTAGCTTTGGAGCTTGTCTTGGAACTAGCTTTTGTAGACCAGGTTTGGCCTTGAACTCACAGAAATGAAAATTCACCTGCCTCGGCCTCCTGAGTGCTGGGATTACTGGGATTAAAGGCATGCACCACCATTGTCTGGCTAATTTATAATCTTAAACATTCAGGTAAACCTTTTATAATTACTACATTAAAACAAACTGGGGTTTTTTTTTTTTATCTGTTTTTCAAGACAGGGTTTCTTTGTAGCCCTGGCTGGCCTCAAACTCAGAGATTCGCCTGCCTGTCTACCTCCCAAATGCTGGATTTAATGGTATATACCACTACATCTGACTAAACTGTGTCTTATAAAGGAAGAACAGCTTCTTTGATCTGTTCACACCAAGTGTATGAACCAGAACTGTCTCAGAAATAGGCTAGTTTTTCTAAAATAAAATTCACTCCTAATCAGTACACATTTCAGTACTGTAAGAAATAAGAACAAACAAAAGTGCATCACACGCCTATTTTTGCTATGTTTTCTCTAGAGGTTAAAAAATTACAAGAAAGGCAAATGGAAATTTGTGCTAAAATATTTTATTAGAAAGAATGAGAGATGATCATTACAGCAATAGAAAGGATATCAGCTTTGGCAAAGTCTCTTATCCCACACTGAGGTAATCCTGGTGTGTTCTGCATGTAGAAATCCAAGTAAAACCAATGGGCGAGTTCAATCTGGAAGCAAACTCGGATTGCATTATCTCGTTCCTCGCTAGGAATATGCAAAATAAATCGGCTGTAAAAACAAAACACACCCAGAAGTTATGCTCACAAACTACTACAGTTGATTTTAATATATCTACTCCCTTACCCTGTCCACCAACTTAGAAAGGAGAGCAGTATCTGATAGGAAATGCCCTGGGAAGAGTACTAAGAGCTGGGTGTGGCGGTGCAATGCCTGCAATCCACCACTAGAGGGACTGAGGCAGGAGGGTTGTGAGGATAAAAGTTGTTTGAAAGAGATTTGTAAGAGAATTTTTTTTTTTTTTTGAAGAGTTGAATAGCTACTGTTCACAAATACAGAAATTAACATTATGGGTTCCTAGCCAATTAGAGCATATGAGGAAACCACAGCGATTTCCTCCTTCAGAATACAAGATTACACACCAATGTCTGTAATTCAGCAAAAGTGCCTGCCATCCACTGAGTCCCCAACACATAAACAACACAAGAGACAACTGCAGACAGAATGGGCACTTCTGTTTCTCTTTAACATACTGGACTTCCCAAGAACACACCCGCAGAGTCTAGATCCAAATGGATTTTATACATCCCAAAGTGCTTTTTAAACACACCAAGAAAGAAGGAAAGTGTATGCATGAGTGCTTTTTACGGACACACACAGCAGATGCACAGACGGGATGAAGATCAGCGTTGTCTTACTTTACAGATTAGAATACACCATCTAAGTGAATATGACTGGCAGTAGCTGTGCTTCTTTCACAGTTAAGCATTTGGGGACTCCTTTTTTCTTCAAGCATTAGAAGCAAATTCAACTAAATGAAATAAATGCTCGCCTTTTGGATGACTTTAATTAAAAGAGCTACCACTCAACTAATTAGTCGCAGAGTTATGTACTTGCTATGATATGATGCCAACTGTTTTTTTCAGTTCTCAAATTTCAAATCAAATAAAAAAGATTTAAAATTACAACACCAATATCGCATTCAAATAATAAACCAACAGCACACGCAAGCACGCGCACACACATACACACAGTGCACCCATATATTCTTTCTCCCCTCCCCTCTTCCGGTCTACCCCACGAGCTCCTAACTCATCATCAGGGCCTCACAAACACTACCTCCACTATGCAAGCGCACCAGACTACTCCGAATACACTTAAACTTGAACAGGGCCCCAGACCTTACACAACTGACTCCGTGATGGAGGGCACCATTCAGGCTGTAAAACTCGGCACGTAGACAGCATCACCAGCCAAAATGAAAACAAAGACCCAATCCATCAAACTTCACACAGTTCTGGGAAAGTCTCTAAATTACCAACCTTGCTTTATAGCTTTTGTAGTTTTGTTTCTGGCTAACTGTTCTTGTTAACTCAAGTACATCAACCCAGACCATGTGTTCTGTGCTTAAAAGCTCCCCTGAGAAAGGCTCAGTGCTACACTGGGATCCTGAACACCTAGCCGGCTGGTTAACACAGACTTCCTATTGACTTAAATTCATGTCCAAGCAGTCTTCTCTGGTGAGTACCCCTCAACAATGCTCTCCCAGACTCATGAAATGTTTAAATTTGTTCACTGGCGGCAAATGATATCTTTGTAGATTTTCATTACCAGTCTAGCAAAATGTTTTACATATACTGATAGTTGTAATGTACTTTTTAAATGTTTCTACCGACTCATATTCCTGCCAAGAAATAAGTATTCCTCTGGCCCTGCCACAGGGCGTAGCTTATTTTCTGAAAATTAAATACATTGGGAAGAGAAAGCTTGGGAAATGTCAAAATCAAAATGAAATAACATTTCCCCCACTCTTCAGTATACCCTACTGCAACTGGGGGCTCACACATGCAAGCAAGTAGGGGCAGAGAATTTCAAAGGTCCACCAGGACCAAATCCTTCCAATGTTCAACAGGCAGGACCACTGCCCAGGGATTCAGAGGTACTAGGAAGAGAACTCCACGGAAACAGCCCCCCAAACTGTGTATGAGCACTGAGTTTATTCTGCACATGCTCAGATCAGACTCTAAATTGACTGTTACAATCTTTGAATAAACTGAGAAAAATCACTGGCCAAATCCCACATCCCCAGTAGGTGACACACAGAGGAAAGAATCCCACTGAAACTAGTCCTCTTGCTGGTTAATTTACCTCCATGTCTCAATAAACACAAGCTTTTGTCTGATATCTAAAGAGGCGTGGTATATAAAATGTGCAGCCCACATGATATGATCTCCTGTTCAGAGGTCCAGATATCTGTATGGCTTCAGCCAACCTAATATACCGAAGAGTGCTAGTCTAAGGAGCTTCATTGTTGTCCCCCACAGTGAGCTGGAGTTAAGAGATGTGATAACAAAAGCTTCAAAAACTAGACCAGGGCCTGACTCTTCTTTTGCACTTTAGACATGGCCATTGAGGGTTGAAGCAACTGGGATACCCACAGAGCCAGCAAGGCCAAAGTGGGAGGCACACCAAGAATCAACACAAGAGATATATATATATATATATATATATATATATATATAAATACGCTTAAGTGATTGGCCAAGCAGTCATTTAATTAATAGTTTCTGTGTGGTTATTTTGAGTCTGAGCTGCAAGGAACGAACAAGCAGTCTCCTGCCAACAGACAGGCAGGAGGATCTATATGACTGGGGCTGGGAGCTGGGTGAAGCATTCACCGTTCACACCAGAACAGAAACACTCAAGTTTACTGCACTCACGAGACAAAGGGACTCAAGCGCTGTTTTAGAACTATCTTCTTTTGGTCAGGGTGATGGTGAGAGTCATTAATGAGAATTAACTTGATTCTAGGTAAAGTGAGGTTGCCTGTCCCAGAGTGAATAAAAGAGAAAGCAAGATGGGCACCAGCATTCAGCACTCTGCTTTCTGACTGCAGGTGCAACACAACCAGCCTCATGCTGCCCCCCCACTAAGCTGAAACATGACACAAACCAGAAACACCTGGGAAGAGCCTCAGCTGATGAAATATCTAGATTAAGTTAGCCTATAAACGTATCTGTGGGAGACTGACTTGATTATTAGCTGACCCAGCCACCAGAAGTGACAATATTCCCTAGCTTGGCCTGGACTAGGTAAAAATGAAGAAAGCAAACTGAGAAAAAGCAAGTAAGAATGTTTATTCTCTTTGCTCCTGTCTGTTGATGTGACTAGCTGCTTGAGTTCTTGCCTCATCTTCCCCAAAATGATAGACTGTAACTCTGCATTGTATTTTCTCCCATTTCCTATTTTTCATCGAGATAATTTATCACAGTAACAAAATTCAAATTAGAGCACCCTTAACAACCTGTCCTTTGCACCAAGCCCTGCTCAGCCCCCAGTTTCTGTGCTCACAGTTATTTCTCCAGCGATTCCCTCCACTCCCCCTTCCTCTCCACCAGCTGAGCGGTTTCCAACAGCTCCTTCTTGCCCAGATCTACCCTCATGTATGTTCAGGAACTTCAGGTAGTGACTAACAAATATCTAAAGGTCATTCCCTCATCCCCAGGGAACATCCTTTCCCTTTACAAGGTACTAGTAAGAACTTTGCCATTATCTGGGTACACGCCCCTTTCTGATGTCTGACCTGTTCCCAACACAATCCAAACTAGGTCAGTCTCGTCAGGGTACCTCTTTTCTCCCAGCTTCATCGGAGACACTGTAGGGTTCACAGTGGCTTCTGACCTTCGCCATTATCACAGCCATATGCTACACACCGGAAGTCCTATACCTGGACTTTAATAAGTATCTGAGCTAAAGAGGTTCACACCTCCATTACTGTGTCTGATACAGCGTTCCATTAGTTACACTGAACTACTGATGTAGGCAAGATGAAGCAGTGAGTCACTAAGATGATATGGCGAGAAGGAAATGGCGGTTATCACATCTCTTAACTCCAGCTCACTGTGGGGGACAACAATGAAGCTCCTTAGACTAGCACTCTTCGGTATATTAGGTTGGCTGAAGCCATACAGATATCTGGACCTCTGAACAGGAGATCATATCATGTGGGCTGCACATTTTATATACCACGCCTCTTTAGATATCAGACAAAAGCTTCAAAAACTAGACCAGGGCCTGACTCTTCTTTTTCACTTCAGACATGGCCATCGAGGGTTGAAGCAACTGGGATACCCACAGAGCCAGCAAGGCCAAAGTGGGAGGCACACCAAGACAAGAATCACGTAAAGGGACAACAGAAGCAGCTGCACATCTCCTGCCATTCTCACGAAATCCTAGAGCCCCGCCTAGCAGCTGGGTAAGGGAACTAAGAGCTTCAGATCAAAGAGTTCTTTCTTTCCTGCTACTGCTGAGGTCAGGTAGGGCAGTTCAGGCAGGAGTGCGATGCCGCTGAGGTCTAAGGTTTCCCTGGGGCAATACCCAACAGGCAAAGTGGAACCAATAGAATTGAGACCAGCTAGTCCTCTTTCCTCAGGGTAGAAGGCCAGCACCATCCAAGGACCTCATGCTACACTACAGTCAAACCAGAAAATGGACAAAAAGCCTCCAACTTTATTCCTGGACTGTGAGGAAACCAACTGAAAATGAGGTCTATGTCCTTGAGGACTGGAGGGATCCTGAGGCTACACAGGCTCTTGTGCCCATCTTTACAGAGGAGCCAGAGTATCCCTAAAGGAGGGACTAATGGGTACTTAAGTGACTTCTTAGTCCTGACCACCTTCCCTGGTTCAATCTTCTGGTCCCCAGTCATCCTCACTGGCACTGATGGCAAGTCCCAACTAGTCTGCTCACTTACCTCTAAGAAACCCCACGTTTTCACTTCATCCTGCCGGTCCTGGCCTACTCCCTCCTAGGCAGACACCAGTCTAAAGCTCAGGTCCTCCTAAGGCTTGAGCCCCCAGAGGCTCTTGTGGCACTTCCAGCACGGAGTCAGTCCTACAACGCCAGAGCTGTGGAACTGAAGACCCTGACTATAGTTTCTAATTCAGACTCTCCTCATCCAACAAGTTCCCTCCCTGGTCTGGGATTCTTCCACCCCATGCACACTCAGTAACAGACACCCACACCACAACTGCCCTTAAGGAAAGAACCCT